TTCTAAATTCGTATCTAAGCGTTAGCATCATGTTAAACCCAAACAATATATGTGGGTAATTACCCTTCTGATTCTTGAAGTGGATGGTGCTGGAATTTCGTGGTGAAGAGAAGAATAAGAATCTGGATGAGAAATCGATATCGACTCGTTGATCTTACTTAATGCCTTATTGGTTCAAGTGTGCTTCATGCCTTGACATGCTTCCCGAGACATTGGAAGTTCATTTTTTGAACAGATATGTTGGTTATAATTTGAAAATTAACGAGACTATTTCCTCGCGTAAGATTCTCTTAAGTTTTCTTTCCTAGTCACATACCCTTTCTCAAGTACTTGCGTTTTCTGCTTTGTTTGCTCCTTAATTTCCAAGCAGTAACATCGAGTCCAAATCGTACTTCGTTGCTGCAATCTGCAATCTGTGTTTGAATGGCCATCTCAATCAATGATGCTTGGTTCATTTTTGCTCCGTTTCATACGTCGACTCTATTGCAATGTTTTCCTGTGTCGTATTCTCATTTTGACTTAGTTACACGATTATTCTTATCCTGAATACATGTGCTGAAGCTGGCCTGTCTATTGTAAGTCGAAAATAGGAGAATCGGTATACTTATGACTTGATTCATCGGGCTTGGTGTGATTGTATGAGATTTCCAGGCTTTGGTACAATGCGTTACTTGATTTCTTTTGAAGGAGAAAATGTCAGTCTTCTTCCTCGGATGTCCATGAGATTCATTCTTGGCTTTTTCTTAGTGTCCGTCCATGTGGCTTTGACTGGATGAGTCTCTAGATCGAATCTTTTTTATTTGTATCTTGATGGATTACAGGAGGATTATGGGTTTATGGTTGTGGGCCGCCCATGTACAAATGGCGGTTACTTAAGAATTCAAAAACAAAAGATAAAATATTGTAATAAAAAAGAGATAGCGGTTATCAAAAGGAATGATTAAAAGAGATTCACGATCTTTTTTTGAGTTAACTTCTTCTCTTAAGTAACGAAAAAAAAAAAAAACGCCGTACAATGACTCCCATAGAAAAGAAGAACTCTCTCTCAAGGCTACTGCAAGAGCGTATTTAATCTGTGGACATTAAAGGTATGTTTATAATTGTAATATACCCGTTTTGATCGGTGATACAAGTATTTCCTGGGCATGTTTCTCATAAGTAGAATGCGAAATTTTGTTTCCAATATTGAGTAGAATACGTTTGTTCAAGTTTCGGTTTATGAGATTAGGAATTCGTCTTTCGTAATGTCTCTTCGGGTAGCTCTTCGTTCTACAGCTCCTATAGTATTTGAGTGTTCTTTCACTAAATCACTCTCCTTTTTAATATCTTTTTGTTTATGTCTATCCATCTCTAGGTATGTGGTATGTTCATCCACCAAAAAATAGATAAAAAGATATGAAAAAATGAGAAATAAAAAATCTCATAATTGCATTTATGGATCTCTTCAATATATGTCTTTGTTTCAAGTATAGTTTAGAGGATATCTTTCAGTAGAGAATTCTTTATTGTCAGAGTTAGCCTTAGATTTAATTATAGCTCACCAGGCTCATGTCCCAAGGCTCAGTAATAAGACCATGCATATTCTTTATCCGATTTGTGTCGGGTTTACTTTCCACACATTGTTCTTATTTATCTTTGTTGCCTTTTTAATGATTTATGTTGATCTCTTTATATTGCCTTCATGTTTTGATTAGTATATCTTCATTTCAATTAGCTGAGTGCACCATGGGATCAAAATCAATATAAACATCACGTGGACACTTAGCCGACTGGTACTTTAGGACTCATAAAGTACTATAGAAGCAAAAGCGAGGAGATGAAAAGAAAAAGGACCTTGAGAGTAACATTCAGTTCTATAGAAGCAAAATGGTAGGTGCTGCCAAATTGCCATTTCTATGCTTGTACTGTACTTTCCATCTCACTGAGAACATTTCTTTGCCTCGCAAACAAAAATAACTTGCCAAGCTGCACGAGCAAACTTGCGTTACTCCCAAGGATTGTGGTCTGTTTATACTTCCCAAAGCTCTCTCAATAAGACATTGGAAGAGATGAAACTAACTCGTGCATCTCATGTTTATTGAATCAAAAGTCAAACTGCCTTTCAGTCAAAAGAAAGTTGGAAATGCCAAATTGAATGAGCTCAGCATACGAGGACATTGAAAATTTGGATGGATAATGCTGAAATGTCGAAGTAACTGAAAATACAAAGACAGGAAGATGTCCATGACACTAAAGGGTAATGGCAAACTCAAATGCCCAAAACAGTGAGACTACTTGCAAATGCAATGCAGAATGAAACCAATGTAAAGGAGACAGGGTCTGAGCTTGGACATCTAATTTTCTCTCCCTCTGGGAATCTTTATTTACATGAGGATCTTCACTCAGTGACCTAAATCTGACGGAAAAAGGGTTCATAGTATCTCAGCTTGGAGGTCTCCATTGATTTATTAATGCATTTGGCCTTTTTTAACTAGCAGCGTTAGACCTTCAATGCTAGCTTCTGAGCAGCAAGAGCTTCAGCCTTGATGGGGGGCGCCCATAAATTAGTTTCAGTAAGTAACAAGGTCACAACATATGGGTCCACGTTTGAGGCAGGATGCCTGTCTTCCAAGCAACCTGTATATCATTTTATGCCATTAACTAACTGAGCAAGGAAGGTGAACTTTGTATTTTCTATCGATATTCAGAAATAGTGAAGCATTGCAGAAAGTTTTTTGCGGCACTAAAAGAACTAAGATATCCAAGCCTTAACTTCGGTTTTGGAAGCAAAACCGTGGGAATGCTTTATGATTGCAAAAAGTCAAAATTCCTTGTATAGTAGCAATCATAGAATCGGCTGACACCGAAAAGATAAAGAATACTTATATATATTATTTTCTTATGATATTGTTTCTGGAATCATCTATTAAAGTTGAGCATCTGTGATTGATATTCAGACAGAGCACAAAAGGGAACTGGGATGGTCAATGTTATAGTACCTTTTCCTTGCTTCTCAATGCCACGGCCCACATGGATTGAGCAACCACGATTGGCAACTCCCTGCATAACAATTCAAGTAATTCAGGCATCACAAAAAAATTTGAGTTCATTAACAAGGCAATCTTCAAATTTGACTAGCAACTGGTATGTTTCTTCTGAGCAATACCGAAAAAAATGTGTCAATGTTGGCTGTTTCATGCTTTCCAGTCAACCTTCTGTTATTTCCTTCTCCAAAGGCGCTAATATGCTCCTCGCGGCATAATGAGAGATTCAAGATTGCCTTCTTTATCACTTCAAAGCCTCCCTCTTCTCTCATGCTTTTTGTACTGCAGAAAAGATGGGAGCACACTCTTAAAGTCCTTCAATGATCAAAAATACTTAACCAAGTCCATGTTATTTCTGTGGTGTCAACCTGTAGTTAGTGTGGCATGCTGCACCATTTAGTCACCCTGAGAAGGAAGAGAGTGTTTTATCAACTTTGGGGTAATAGATTGCGTAAATGGTGATAGTGAAGTCAAATACCTCCTTTGGCTTAGGATCTAACATGAGGACGACACCAGCTCGCTCAGTTATTCTGTGTTATATAGGCAACAAAAACAATCAAGTATTTGAATACCAAAGAACATGTCTATATGCACTTATTCCATTTGCCGTTAATGGCATTCCATTATTTTCTTGAGCAAGTAATTGAAATTTCACCTTAAGAAGGTATCTTGAACACCACAGATGATCTCCCGCTTCAATTCCGACGCTTGGTCCTACTTGGTATTCTCACTGCACAATTGAAGCTAGTGTTGATGGCAACAGTTTTGTGCTTCTTTTTTTATTTTTTTCCCTTTTGAAAAAACAGACAAGATGGAGGTCAGATATTACCTGGCCCGGCATCACCTCTCCATTGATACCACTAAATTTGATACCGGCATATAAGCAACCCTTATAGTGAACATCGGATATGTCTTAAGTCCAAAAAAATAAAACATCGGATATGTCTCGGCCAAATGACTTATCAGGCCCAACACCACAGTAATAAGGCCCCTAAATGAACATAAAAGATCACATCACAATACAAATTTTCTCATCAGCTTAGCCTATAATCCATCAATATATAGGGAAATTCATTTGGAAACAATTTCTCACTTGGGGACCTAGATATCCTCTAACAGGCCAACCTAATGACCATCGAATATTTGTCTGCAGTAGGGTGCTTCCTTGCTCAATCCCATACCTAATGTGAACATTTAGCAAAAGTCATGAGCTCGTCCATTTCAAAACTTTATAATTCAAGATAAAAAGAAACTCATGTTTTTGGATATCCTACCATGAAACGTCATAGATAGCCTTTGGGTTACTGGAAATTTCAGCAACCCTGGCATGTTTGTTCGCTGGAATCGGCCTGCTAGCTGGTATGTATAAATTGCAAATAACCTGCAGATGAACAATAATTCTCCGTAAACCAATTGAAAGGTCCTTTCTTGTTTGATCAACCTTTTCAGATGATCTGATGGATGAACAATTTATGACAACATAATACTTATTTCGTGGATGATTACCAAGATAATGTTGCCACCTCGGAAAGGATCCTTGAAAATTGCTTGAGGGCTGTTAAAAAGTCAAGAACTTGATGGAATGATGTGAAAGTAAATATAGTACGACAGTTTTGGGTTTATGTCATCTTACGGTAAGATCACTTCGCTATCCTCCCCCCAAAGCTTGACCAGTACTTGATCCATCCTAGTTCCACATGGGAAGTTCAGGCAGGTGCTCAACAGGTCTAAGGATCATCTGATTATTCACGAATTAATAGATCAGTAGCATGTAGCATGTAAAAAGAAAAGGTGTCAGTTGTTGAATGTGCATATAACATATGACATACTTATTCTGATGGTAGATCGAAGAGAAATGCGAACTTATAATTTCAATACAGAATAGTTCTAGTAGTGTTCATCTTTTTGTGGACCGCACTTAATGGTTTTAGGCATTAAAACATACCAAATGTATTCTGCAATCATCGTATGGGAGAAGACTCTCAAGCCTGTAATAGAATTGTTCTCGGACTTCAAAGCATACACCCTGAACTTAGAAAAGCTCTTGCTGTTTACACTCTTCTTTTACTTCAGCAAGAGAAAAATCCATGCGTTTGCTATGGTAGTCTGTGAATTCTGTCATCCTCATATGGCATTGTGTCGTCGGTGCCAAAATCTGCGCCATTTCTGCCTAGTCTGAAAAATAAAGCAGTGTGAGTAAATAGACATATCTACTAAAACAAAAAACCTGGGAGCTTAATCTCATGGAAGATAGTTCAAACATCGAGCATTATTTGTATGACTTGGCCTTCTGGTATGCATGATAGTTTACTTTTGAAATGATAAAAAAGAATGGACTGGGTACTTCAAAGACAGCACCTTCCGCCCTAAGCTTAATCTCATGAAACCACTTTTTGAAGACTTGTTTCAAGTGGGAAAAACTTACATTTTGAAGCATAAACAGCGAGGCTCAAATACAATTGCCATGAACAATTTTACACACACAGGTTTCGATGGAGGTATAAGCTTAGAGATCGAGTGGCGTAGTCTTAGACCACTTGAAATTGATTCTAGCCCAAAAATAGAGGGATAAACTGAGAGTAGATTTATAAAATCTTACTTATTTTGCAAGCATGATTTCTAGAAAACGAAAGCGGTAGAAATCAAGAAGATGGAATGGTTAAAACAACTTAGTAGTACAACAGCAAGAGCAGTGAAATGCGGTGCGACATCTCTTCCGTGTAGATGACAAACTATACCACTCATGAAATACAGAGCATGATGATCCAAACCAAAATGCTTTTGAGATAGCAGTCACTGACCGCACATCATAATAGTTTTCGAGCTGCAAGTCCAGTTCGAGAAGCCAAGTCAGCAAACTCGGCTCATCTTCACCACCAGATCAAGCAATGAACCCAATCAAAAGATACAAAAACAAATTCGTATGACGTCGAACTGAAGTAGTCAACTTTGATCAGGAGCCGGAACAAAGTGAGAAATTCTCAAGAGGCACCAATAATTCAAAAAATATAATAAAAAAAAACCGCAAAAAGCATTAACGATGATGCTGAACTCGGTGGCAATTGTCCTCTCTCCATTACCAAATCAATGTCGCAAACCCTTGCGCTCCTAGCGAGAACGAATGTGTTGTACTCGTTCAATGCGATGCCTTAATAATCCGAATTAGGCCTCGCGAGAGAGAGCTCAAGCAACGGCTATGACAAGATTCTCTGAACATCAGAATGCAACCCGTCATCGACCTTCTCTCTCTCTGTCCAGAAGCAGCGAAAGCAAACGGGTGTTTGCAAAATCGTGCCGGTATTCCTCTAGGGTTAATTCATGTCCCCAAATCGAATCTAGCATCGAAACACAATTCGAAAATTATACATGTAAAAAACTGGGTAAACAAGGTCCTCACATACCTTCATAATCAAATGTAGAGGTGGGGGATATGAGCGATCTTGTACCAGTCCTCACCTCCATCTCTCTTGCACCTCCTCTCCAATTCTGGGCAACCGAGGATCGTTAGGTGAGTAAGGGATGCAAGCCTTTGCATTCCTTCAGGTAATGACGTCAACAAGGGGCAATAGTAGATGTCAAGCTGCTGAAGTGATTGAAGGGCCACGATCTGCTCTGGTAATGCCTTTAAATTGGAGCAACCCCAAATTGTGAGACGCTCGAGATTGCTGAGCTGGAGAAGCCACTGTGGGAGAGATGCTAGTTTGGGAAGGCCGTCGATCCACAGGGACCGAAGACTGTGATGGAGTCCTCCATGGAAATCCAAGATGAGGTTGTTGTTGCCGCTTTCGTCTTTGCATAAATCCAGCTCCTTACAATCCCGAATGGAGAGATCCTCGAGATTGCTGGCCTGGAGAAGCCACCGTGGGAGAGATGCTAGTTTTGGAAGTCCAAAGAGAGTCACGGAGCGGAGACTGTGAAGTTCCAAGATGAGGTTGTGGTTGTTGTTGCCGCCGCTGCTTTCGTCGTATTTGGAAAAATCCAGCTCCTCAGAATCTAAAGAATCGAGATGCACTAGGTTGGATTGATGTCGCGTACCCAGTGGTGGTGGTGCTTTTGAGAGGGAAGTTAATCCAGGACAATGCCATATGTGAAGAGATTCGAGGGAGGTGAGACTTTTCCAGCACTCCTTGGGCACACATTCTAGAGGCTTCATATAACATATTTTCAGATGCTTCAACTTATTAAGGCCAACTATCATATTTATTAATGCTGGGTGGGCCCTAGTCAGCGTTAACTCCTCAAGATGCGGAGTTGGTAGGACAGCTTTCAATTTTTCACAACTATCGATATCTAATTTCAATAGACTAGGAAATGATATTGTTGAAGTGGAAGAATGATCCGATACGATGTATTCCAATTCAGTCAGTTTCGAAATCTCTAAAATCTTGAGGCCAGGTAGTTGGCCTAGTGGAGGGAGAAGTTTACATCTTCCGCAATCGTTGAAGCTTAACTCGACTAAATTTGGCAAGGAAAACACAAGGCTATCCATCATCCACCTCGAAAAGCTCTTACCTTTATATCCATTTATCTTCAAGTTCTGCAGGTTTGAGTGCGGCATCAGTCCATCTAATAGAGCTTCATCTCTATCCCCGATTACTGCATCTTCAGTATTGAAATCGCTCCATATAAGTTCCAAAGATTCCAGAGAATGCTTTCCTATCAAGTTTGCAGCCTTGGATTCTGCTACTGCATCTGTCACACTTCCCAAATTCTCAATGCAAAGGCTTCCCCGGATGTCATTAAGCCCATTTAGCTCCCAAAGTCCGCAACAATCCTTACCAAGAGCTTTATCTTTGGGCAAAATGAAGCGCGTTAGCCTATGCAGAGAACTCAACTGACCTAGTCCATGTGGCAAATAACCAAGATTCGAACAATAATCTATGTCTAGATTTCGAAGGCTAACTAACTTCCCTATACCCCTTGGCAATTCTTCAAGGGCACTACAACCGGAGAGATTAAGTGTTTGCAAATTCTGCAATCTCGTAATGGATCTAGGAAGCCTTTTTAGATTAACATTGCCAGAGAGGTCGAGATACGTGAGATGCTTCAACTTATAAATCAACCTTGGCACCTTTTCTACATTTGTTTCTTGCAAATCCAAGACACGCAACCTCTTGAAACTTTGAATGAGTTGGCGTAGATCTGCTTCGCTCGTTGGTTCCATTTCTCTATCACTAGCAGCACACAGAAATGTTCTCAGCGCACTTGCTTTTGAGCATGAGATTAGAAATTCGCCCCTCAAATTGAAAGTTGAACCATATGATACATGATGAGTTCTCTCATGTATGGATTTTGTGCGATCCCATGCCACCCGACACTCGGTCCCAGCAACCAAGCATGCTAGATCATGCATCAAATCATGCATCTTGCAAGTCTCCTCATCTTCTTGAAAATCTTGGAAGAAGTTGCTCCAAAGTAGATCCATGAAATATCCATGAGCAATGTCTTCTAAATGTTGACTTCTATTTGATGACCGGATAAATCCTTCAGCCACCCAAAGATTGACTAAAGTCTGCTTCTTTATCTCATAATCTTTGGGAAACAATGAACAGAACGCGAAACATTGTTTCAAATGTGAAGGAAGATAGTCATAACTTAGCCTCAAAACAGATATTATGTTGTCTTCCCTTTGAGACACATCTAGGAGCTCATAATCTTTGAAAGTTAACCATTCGAGTTTAGTTTTCTTAAAGAATAGTAAACTCCCAACAGTTCGAACAACCAATGGAACCCCGAAGCACTTTCTAACTATCTCTTTGGCGATAGCTACCATTTCAGGATCTTGTATCTCCTCTTCTTTTCGATGAGCCATTTGCATTAATAAATTAAGAGATACGCTGTCAGATAAGCCCCCAAGAAGAAGAGGCGGAGCAGTGCCAACGATCTTCGCAACCGAAGGAAGGCGTGTAGTTATAAGGATCTTGCTTCCTCTAGCACCTCCTACCAGTAATTTTTTCAAGCCCAACCATTTTTCTGGTTCTTCATTCCACAAGTCATCTAAAACTAAGAGATATCTCTTTCCATCAATTTCTGCCCTCAGTTCACTTTGCAACTGTTCCATTGGATCCTCATTGTGTGCTTTCTTCTTTGCACAAGCTATGATATTTGTGACTATTTTTTTCACGTCAAAGTCATTGGAGACACAAACCCACATTTTCAAGTAAAAGTGTTTACTTACCATCTCATCATTATATATAAATTGAGCAAGTGCCGTTTTTCCAAGCCCACCAATACCAACTATTGGAAGGATAGAGACGTTCTCTTTCACGTTTGAATCCAATAAAAAATTTATGACAGTCGTTTTGTCATCATCTCTGCCTTTTATATCTCCCTCACTTATAAACGAATGCGTCTCTTCTCTTTTCCTCCACTGTCTCTCTACTCGTGAATCCACGGAGCGCTCATCCAAGTGGAATTTCCTATCAGCCTCAATGGCTTCTATTTTCTCCCTCACTGCTCTTACTTTGTAACTCATCTTCAGTTTAAAAGCAAGCTGGTTTGAACTTGAGAAAAATGTCCTTACCTCCTTGCTTATTTCACTGTGGCCTCTCAGTTCTCGTCGCAAAGCTTCTATATTGACTTCTTCAAGTACGTCTTGCGCATCATAGAAAGCATCTTTTAGTTTCTCAAGCCAACCTTGGATTTGGCGACTCTGGTAGTATTGCTTCTCTGCATCATCCAGTACGGCCTGAATCGTGGAGATCGTGTCCCCGAGCACCTTGAGTTCATGCTTGATGCCCCATAACTTTCCAACCGTTTCTATTGCTTGAGGAACCAGATAAGCAACGATCTTTTCAGCAATGCCAACGACAGCTACCGCCATTTTTGTCCTTTGTATCTGTCTTTGTCTCTCTGTGGATCAGAAGATATAAGTGCAGTCGGTCCAAGCCTAGAGACTTCTCACGACATGTATAAACAATTAATGTTGATGCTCACTTGACACTGGCAAATCAAAAGCCTTACAAATCTAATTATCAACTTCTATGACGGACTTGAGCTGTTATAGATGGGAATTCTAATCATCCACACAAGCCTCAACCGAAAGTACGGACCCACCCGGGTCGTGTCCCATGCCCGCAAGAACACCTTTCTTTTTTTTTTTCAAAGGGTTCATTCTTTACTTTTTTGCGAAAAGATGACGGATCATTTTTTATATTCTTTGGATGGATTTAATGTATGACAAAGTTGTTAACAAAACGTTACAGTTTGATTAAGGAAGTTCAGTCTCCTTGCTTATCTCTCAAAATTATTTGCTTCCTGTGATCAATGCTCCTACATTTTTTTTCTTCCTTTATTTTTTCCTATTATCCAAATAAACAAAAAAAAAACTGCCTTAAAGCTCTTCCCATCCCATACTAGACAATTCCAAAACTTGCACATTTATGCAAAGTAAAATCCTATATCTTTACACAATCTTTTACTATTTCAGTTTTCTATTGTAATCGTATCAATTAATTTGGAATTCTTTAAATACTTGAAATTCATAGCTGTTCTTTAACAATTACTATGAGACAAGTCATCTCTTTTGTCTTTTAAGTCTGGCTCTTATTTCTATCCCCTAATATATTCTTCTTCTAATTTAACTCTATTCAATATACATAATCAAATCTTTGTCGAATTTCCTATATGATCATACTATCAGCTTGCCTCTATCTTTTAATCTAAAGTTAGCTTTACTTATTTACTTTATTTAAATTCAAATTCGAGACAATGCAACAACTTGTATCATTCTTTTTACACCTAAAACAAGCAACAATAATTATATTATTATGATAATAATCATTTCTTTTTATACGAAGTACAGCTAGTCTTCTTCATAATAATGTGTTATGCATGTCGCACATCTATTGTTGTTAAATTGCAACATTCTTGTCGTCCCAACAATAATAGGAATGGTCTTAATCATTATTTTTTATGTGTTTTCTCTATGCATGACAATCCTTTTTGCATACTTCAATGAACTCTCATGTATGGTTTGTTTCATATTTAATAAATAAATTATTCCTATATAAAATTACCTAAATTTACTAACAAATGCCTTTATTAGGGACTTGTTATGGGTTATTTCACATTAGCATTGCTCTATGCAAGAGCAACTTAAGATAGGTGGCACGATCCTAAGTTGTTCTTATTTGTTTGATATGTTTTGGAGAGTTTTGACTTAGTGAGCTCAGAGTATGGCTCTTTAAAGATGACCCGGCCTATTCCCTATGCCTTTCTATTGGGCTTGGTGTCGGCCCGTGTCCTATTGACACCCGGTTGTATATAATTGGATTGAGACCCCCTTGGCTCGTAGTAGCCTATCCATATGACATAATCCTATTAAGCAATTATTTTGATCCTAAATAGCCACATCAATTCACTTGTTAAGGTAGGATATAATCTTTTACATATACAGTGGATTGTGAGAGCTGAGGTTGGAGTTAGGACGACAATTAAATTCGGAAGAAAGTGACACAAATCCACGGGATATGTAAAAGATCACATCCAATTTATTAAGTAAGGCAAGTCGATGATGTTGTGCTTGTATGTTAAAGATTAAATGGGATGATTAAGTTCTTTCCCACTTTATTGTAAAGTATGTATATACGTTGGAGTTTTGCAATCAAAATTTGTCATTTAAATATTTTCTTTTACCTATAGTTATTGTATACTTATATAATCAAATTTAATAAGTAAGGCAAGTAAATGTTGATATATTGTTCTAGAAAAATTATATTAGATTAAATTAGACGATTGAGTTTTTTTCTACCTTATTATATAATAATATGTCTCATGGATGTTAAGGAAAATGGGAAGGATGGAGCTTTGCGATGATGTGGGTAACCATTTAACTCCATTTTATCAAAGTTTTTTATTATTGATTGATTATATATATATATACTTAGTTTGGTTTCAAAAATGACACATAATAAAATAAAATGAAAGAAAGTAATCGTGATGATAAGAGTTAGCTGAGGTTTCTTAGGACTTGTTCGTTTGTGCTTTTTTAAAAGCAAAAGTAGTTTTTTGCTCTCTATAAAAATTTAAAATATCATTGATGTATTAAAAAAAATTATGAAAAGATTATATGTAATTTATGTGAAAATTACATATGTTTCAGACCAAAAAAAAATGTTAACATGCATCTGAAATGAGATTGGATTAAAAAAATAAAAACAAGCCTTTAGTTGTTTTGCCGATGCTTGTGAAATCATAGAGCTTGAAATCCACCATAAGAGGTGGACAAACTTGAATTGTTGAAAATAGGAAATCCCATCGTCCATGCACATTACAAGATGAGGCCTAAATCAATATGCATATGGGACTCACCAAGGTCGGGACCGAGGTCCATGATTGGTTTGTCTAAAATCTTTCGTGCTTCTAGTGTTTACTCGTTTAACATGTTTGCAAAAGCAATGGAGATTCTGACGAAAACAAATCACTGATCTAATAGTTTATAAAACAATAATCCGATGCTTGCATGGTGAAAATAACTCAGAGAGCGAAATTACCAGGAGTATTGGTGATATTGAAGGACCGAATTTGACAGCAGTGAGCCTGAATGAAATGCAAGCGGCAAGATAAGAAGCAGGGAAGGAATGGTTCTTGAGTGCTGCTTGCGTTAATCCTCGTCGCACATCATATAGAGAAAGAAAATGAAAACATTCCTTTCTTATGTCGACACAACAAGGAAACTTGGGAATTGATCCCTTTCTTTGCCTCTTCAGTTACCCTTAACGCAAGAAGGGCCACACATCTAATTACTTTCTTTATTCAACGGAAAGGTTCTTCCATAAGCAATAATCGTATTTTAGCAGGAGCAGCTTTAGAGCTAAAAGTGAAATGTTCAAGTTTGCAACCCAATATATCGGCAAAGTATTTGATCCCATTCTCGCAACGGTTAAGTTCGTCTTAAACGGGTTGAAACAATTATATCGTTTATATTGGATGGTCTCCCCAATTATTTTTTACTTTTAACACTATCGAAATATTATCTAATCGAAGTTTTTTTCCTTTTGCTTTTCTATATTACAAACATAGATATATTGATTTTAATAATTAGATACTCTTTATAGTATAATTTTTTTTTTTGCTTACAATTCGATTGAGTATTACTTATATATTCTTTTTCCTTATTTTGTTAATGCATTTCCTAAATTCATGAAATTAGACATTCCCTTTGTTTTTCCTTTGGTTATGTATACTTATGCGGTAGTCTCAATGCCCGCTGGCAGGCAAAGGCTATACCTTATTGTTCATTGGGGTATTAAGTCTTTTGCTGAACATTGCAGGATTATAATTTTAGCAAATAATATGACTATAATTTCAAACATAATGTTAAATATGCATCTCAATTAACAATTTGTTTTAGGTGACGTGGCTAGAGCATTCCAGTCATCAAGATTTTTTCTGTTAACTATTGGAGTCTTGCTTATCTTTCTGGAGATGATTGTGTTAGAATTTTAGTACACTCCGGTTTGTTAACCTCATGAATTTTGAGTATCGTGGTTCTATGTCAGTAAATGCACTTTTTTTTCTTTCTCTCTTCTATATTAATTGCGTAACTGCAATATTATGCCAAGATTTTACTTTCATTTTCGTTGATTATACGTCTCTCTAATTGAATTTACATTTGCATTAAACTATCTAGATTTAAGATTAGTGAAACTTTTCATTGTACTTGTAGATTTTACTTAGAATTATTACTATAAGAGAAAGAAAAGAGGAACATTCCTTTCATATGTCGACACAACAAGGAAACTTGGGAATCGATCCCTTTCTTGGCCTCCTCAATTACCTTTAACACAAGAAAGGTATTTCTTTGCATTTCTTTCTTGCAAAAGGGGTCATGTCGGATTACCTTCTTTTGTTCCACGAAATGGTTCTTTCATATTCGATAATCATATTTTAGCAGGATCAACCCAAAACATCGGCAAGCATTTGATCTTCCAAGGCATCTTGCAACAGTTAAGTTCGTTTTGAAAGGGTTGAAATAGTTATATCTTTCATATGGGATGGTCTCCCCCAATCCTTTTTTCTTAAACCGCCATGAAAATATTATCTAATCGAAGTTTTGTCCTTTTGCTTTTCTATATTATAAACATAGATATTGATTTTAATAATTAAGTACTCTTTATAGTATTAATTCTTTGCTTACGATTCGCTTGAGTATTAGTTATATATTCTTTTTCGTATTTTGTTAATGCATTTCCTAAATTCATGAAATCAGACATTGGTCCTTTTTCCTTTGGTTAGATATACCTAGGCGCTAGTCTCAATGCCCATTGGCAGGCATAGGCTATGCCAATGGGCATAAAATTTTTTACTGAACATTGCGAGATTCTAATTTTAACAAATAATACGACTATAATTTCGAACATTATGTTGTTTATGGATCTCAATTACAAATTTGTTTTGGGTGATGTGGCTGGAGCATTCTAGCCATCAAGATTTTTTCTGTTGACTATTGGAGTCTTGCTTATCTTTCTGGAGATGATAGTGTTAGAATTTTAGTATACTCTAGGTTGTTGACCTCATGAATTTTGAGCATCGTGGTTCTATGTCACTAAATGCACTTTTTTTTTCTCTTCTATATTAGTTGCATAACTGCAAAGTTATGCCAGAATTTTACTAGATTTTAGTTGATTATGCATTTCTAATTGAATTTTCATTTGCCTTAAACTATCTAGATTTAAAATTATTGAAACTTTTCATTGCACTTGTAGAATTTACTTAAGTTATTTTCTTTTTGGTAATAATCGTACATTATCAAATTGTATAGTTGATTACATCCTTTTGATTCAATGGTATCTTTAGCATTACCATAGAGGTTTCATTCATGGTCTCATCTTTAAAATCATAAAGGCTACGTGGAATATTAGTATATGTGACGACTTATGAATAGATAATTAATTGCATTTTTTATTCATATAGTCAGACGACTATATTTCAAAGTTGAA